GTGTTTCCATTTAAAAATTGACCTAGGCCTCCAAATAATTTGCAAGGTCATGATCAAGGTCGAATCTAATATCACCGTCGAATAGTCGTGAGAAAAAGTGGACATCTGATACATTTTCTTTTTTTCACCCTTGTAGTATATTTGACTCTCAACTGACTTCACGAGGTCAACTTTAGAGTGGCTAAAGACCATATTAAGTCGTTGTTGTTTCCACACTTTTCATTTCCGCATTAAAAGTATTAGTTTCAATTGAAAAATCCGATTTCGACTTTTAAGGTTGCAAGTTATTTGTTAAGGTCAAATCATAGGTCACCATCGGGTAAACCTAGGCTTGATCCTTGGTACTCCCTTGGGTCAGTACCGTCGTTTTTGGTGAAATGCTGTTTCAAATATGTATTCTACTGTGTCGTGGTTTATACTGATCAATAGAGAATTTTGTACTCTATAGGTACATTAATTTTTTCCAAATTTCAACTTTTTCCCTTTTTTCAGCTCATTGAAAACAAAAAGGAACACTATCAGCATCAGGGGTTTATCGCATACCGTACTCTTGTGGTATATATCGGATCCACTAAAAGATCCGTGGGAACCAGGTTGAAGGAGCATGAGAGAAAGTGAAATCCACAAACATACGGATAATTTCAACAGAAAAGAAGAAGCTGTGAACCTCAATCGAAAATGGAATCCCATTCTAAGGAATTTAAGAATAGCAAATAGCATGACGACAGGTAGAAAAAGTTCATCAGATGTTATTGACAATTTCCCTAAACCAGGTACAGGTATTAGCACACCAAACTACCTCAGAAGTCAGCATAAATACGGGTTACGTAGCCATAATATCCAGCCATCGGAGATATAATCTCAAGATGAATAAGCATCTGAAAAAGCTAGCCACTCTCGGCAGCGAAACGTCAGAAAGAAATTACAAAAATTCACGGCCTTTCAAACCCGAAGAATATTCACACAGAAATTATAACACTTGATAGTTCTCTCACAATGGCGGATGGATTTAGTAAGTTGGCATTAAAAGCACTCAAAATGATGAGATTTTTTTAAAATTATACAGTAACTGTTCAAACGATTTCAATGCTACAAAACTCGTAATCCATTTATTTACAGTACACCGAGCTGACAGAATTATTCGACTTGTGTTACGTTGCCAAAATTGCATTAATTCAAATGGCGCTTATTTTGATTGAATTAATGATAATAATAAATATACTTTATTGTCTGAAGATACAATAATCTTATCGACAAAGTGTAGACATTCATAAAACTTGATATATCATGGTTCACATGATATTGTCAATAAAATATAGGACTATCAATTAATTTAATTTTCAATTGGTTATAACTAAGTATTAAAATAAATAAATTAAATAACACATATAACATACTGAGCTAATGTTAGACGTCAGTGAACACTGTCTCAAAAAATTCCGTAATACTATATAAAGCCAGATCCAGAAGAGAAGTTTTCAATTTTTTTCTGAACACAGCATATGTTTCAGAATGTTTTATTTCTGTTGGCAGATGATTGAATATTTTGGCAGCGTTATATATGCNTGTTGTAGTATTCATGAAAGAATATGTTATTTGTATACTTTCTTATATTATATAACGATCTAAGATTTTTTGAGGATGTTTTTATCCCTTGTGTTAACCACGGTTTTTTGTTTTTTCGTTTTATTTTGATTTTTTGCATTGGAAATGAATAATTAAAGGAATTAGTCAGAAGAATTAAATTAGTATTCACTGAGATATTACAGTTTTAAGTCGACTTATTAAAACTGGCACAACTTTTGAAATGGCAAAAAATTACTTACATTAGGTAACACACGAGGAGCTTTTGTGCTATTGTCTGTTTTGTCCGATTGTTGTGCTCTTTTGATACAGTCCGGGACAATCTTGTTTTCTCCTTTAGTCATTGAAACTATACTGACAGATATGTTTACACGGGTAGTGTAGCATGTGTAAGTCGTTAGAAAAACCATGCATCCAATCCAAAATCTGGTGGGGATTTTTATTTCTACAGAAGAGGTAAACAATCATGAAATATCCTCAGTTGATGTGATTTTATAAGGAAGCGAAATTGCTGTCTTCACTTTACTTTTTAGTTGTTGAAAATGCTATAACTTACTCATAACATCCACGAGAAAGTCCTCACTCAATGTATGTTAAATTGAGAATCTATTTGGTTTTCTTGGACGATACATGAACCAATCAGCTCTAATTTAACTTTTTCAAACATAACTACTCTTCATACGTGAAATTAAATTTGACATTTGTTCATTTAATGTCAAATACCAGGCGTGCATTGTTGGCAAATAATCCCATTAGTGAACGATGGTTTTCTTTCTCGAATCTTAAGGTCTGAAATCTGTACTGATTTGAGCTCCAAAATAATAATAACGTCACTCACAAGAGGTAAAAGCAGTGAAGAACTATCTCCGCGGCAAGTATCAGCACAAACTTCTAATATTACTGTACTCGTTTGGGGTAGTGAAGTGGACTCGGTGGGAGCTGTATCAACTCGACGTAAAAACCGGAAAAAAGATGCACCTCCACAGGAGTTTGCATCCCAAATCGTCCATTCCTTAATTTCTCCCGACAACAGGGAAGCCGTGGACTTTTGAGTTTGGAGTGTCTACATGACAGAATGGAACTGGATGGAGCCTGTAAAGTCATCAGGAGTTCGGGTCCCCTCCACTGCATGGTCTGCGACCATGAGAGAGCAGAAATTGGAGCATTCCTCTTCATAGGGCAGCTACCTGAGCCGCAGAGATCATTTTATTCATGCGACAAAACAAGGGTAAGCTAACTTGTTCGCTTGATGACCTATTCATTTTGTAGAAATCCATATTGAATATAGAATAAGCCAATGCATGGGGTCTTCTTCAACAACAGTGAAGACCTTGGCTTGCCAAAGCGCCTGACGTTCGCTTTTCTCAGGTCGAGCGGGCTGAAGTCTGAAAATGAGGGGTTCATCATGTCCTGCCAGGATGGTGTTTTCAACACCTTAGTCTACAGCAGTCGCGTGATAGGTATAGAGGTTCCTGATAAAAGGTGCAGGGCAGAGCACTGTCCGCATATGACGAGACAGCGGTGTTGCCCTACACTGGTGAAAATTTTTCACCGGTACCGGTGGCAATTTAATTACCGCCCATCTTAGCGAGAAATTACTTTCGTGTGTGATCTCACATTCCATGCGGAATATTATTTTGTAATTATACCCCGAAGACAAGTGTGGAATTTTTCAGTGTAATTTTTCATTTNATGCCCTGAAACTTTAATAATGATTTCAAATTTTGTCCCAAGGTAGACCTTTTAGTACTTGACATTTCAAAAAAAATTATTAAAATCGGTTTACAACTTCAAATTTTAGGGGGGTGTTTCCATTAAAAATGGGTCACACTGTATAAGCGTGTAGATAATGTTACGAGAAAAAGAACCTCGAAAAAGAAAGGCTTTATGTTTGCGTGCAGGCAAAAGATGTTTAAATCTTAAATTAAGATTATTTATATCAGTTCTGAAGGACAATTTAGTGAATAGGTAAGCTGGTTTTCCAGTAGATATGACCTTTTGGAATAAAGTAGTAAAATGCAGTGTCCGCCTAGCATCCATGTTCAGCCACCCAAGTATTGATAAATGCTCACGTCTCCTTGCGCCTGTGACTAGTCTTTTGCAGTTTTTGAAGTTTCTGCTTATCAGATTTCAAGAGTTCTGGACCATAAACAGTATCTGCATAATTGACATGATATACATCCAGTGCGTCGCAGAGTAAAATTTTATTTTCGCTCAAGTAGGTATAGGTACTCGTTTTAGATTCATATGACCCTTTTTGAAAAACTAAGAAACGTGTATAGTGTACCGCAGAAGGCCTACATTTTTCGTGGCGTCTCTATTTGGTAGTTGAACCCCATCAATTGAAATATTAATCATTTTGCTACAACAGTTTTTAGCAGTTGGCCTACCAAAGAGCTTGCATTTAAAGAGAGACAGTATTTACTCGATTCAGTTATCAGAGTGTGAATCATGACTCATTTGATCGAGCGCAATATTAAGTGAATTTTCATCGAATTCTAAATACAACTGTGTATCATAGGCGTAACAATGCATGGAAGTATGAAGCAGGCACTGTGAAATCAAAAAGCATATAAAACAAGGAGAAGTGGGCGTAAAATCGATCTTTAAGGTACCCTATTATTTACTTCAAGGGTAGTCGATTTTTTGTTATCAAATATGATACACTGAAAACGGTTTAGCACGCAATTTCAAAGCAGAGTTATCACGCGGAAGGGTGGGTGATGGATCATTGAAATCACCACCTTTGTGCAATGGGATGAGTTTATTATGAACTCTAGTGCATTTCATGTGGTATCAGGAAGATTACCAAAAATTTTAATTACAATGTCGTCTATTCTAGCGGCCTTTTTATGTTTAAAAAGACTGAATCATTTCTTTGAGCTCATTTGCGTCAGTAGGGTGTAAAATAAAGTTATCATCGATCAAAATTTTCTCAAAATGAACCAGCGGATTATAAGTAATGGGTATGTATTTTGTTAATTTTTCTACTGAGGAGCAAAAGCAATTGTTCAGTTTGTCTCCGTTTATTGGTATATCAACTCGCTCTTTTCTTTGTTTTCCCCTAAAATCAAAAATCATGGACGACATCTCTTTTGATTTATTGCTCGCTTGCAAAATTCTGCTGATAATTTTAACTTTGAAATAATTATAGAGCGAATTTTTTCCCAAATGTCATCCATGAAAAATTGGCCTTGTTTCATATATTTCAATGAAAATATATTATTTAGGTGCTTGAAAAATAAGTAATAGTAAAGAATGAGTTCATTTTTATTTAATGTTTTTATTACAATAACATACTTCATTATATTTCGAAAGTAGCCGTTTATTACAAGAATTATACTATTGGCGATGAATGAATCATGATGATCACAGTAGTAAATGCCTCCGAATTCGTAATATGAGTTTCTGTTTTTAACTAGCTTGCTCCTCAGGTTCTGATTGAGCAGTATCAGCTTTCCTATTCCAGCTTTGTTCTTCTACAGATCCAAACACCATGAACAAGATTCCAGACGCCATGTAGACGCATCCTCCTATTATGAAGTTGTAACCCCATTCTTTTGTTCCACTCTGGAAATGAAAAAGAATATGAAACATGATAATTCGCCAGCAACTTGAAACAATTACAAATTTTCACGTAATCACGTAATCACGAAAAAAATTTAAAATACTCATTATACAAGTAAATGGTGGAAATAAACCATAACTACCTAAGTAACTTTTTTATTGATAGTATTTTTCAAGAAATACGTAATGATGATATCAAAAAATATTACCTCCGAAATAAAAGTTGCGAAACTCAATTTTGTCTTGACCCAAAAAAAGATGTTTTGGTTGGTTTCTGGGTTTTGCAGTGGTCTTCTTTGGTTACAACGTTTCAACTGCAAGTGGGGCAGTAATCTTCAGTGGCATGAATATTACTGAAGTTTTTTCCCATCACCAAATCGTTTTTTCAACACCTCGACACGTGTTTCGATCACCAAGTGATCATCTTCAAGAAGAAGAAACACGTTTCGAGGTGTTAAAATAACGGTTTGGTGTTGGGGAAAGAACTACAGTAATATTCATTACTACACCAAAGATTCCAAATTCAGTGGCTTGGTCGAAGACCACGGCAAAACCCAGAAACCAACGCCAGCCGTCAAAGCCTACGCATCAAAAAGACATGTAGCCGAAAACTTACCAAAAATGAAAAAAAAGCAGCGGGTACTGATGGACTGTCAATTGGATTAAAAAAAGTGTCTGCCACACATTTGACCATACCTCATTAATATCATAAAAAGTATATTGTTGGCTAGCATATTTCCTACCAGTTAGAAGATAGCTTTGATCAAATCAATTCTGAAATTTAACAACCACAGGAACAACTGAGCTGAGCCCAGGAGTTTACTTCTTGGTGTACCTCAAGGGTTAATAGTTGGTCCTTCCCACTTTATAATATATACTAGTCCGCTACCAACATTTTAGGTGTTCTATAAAATTCACAAGTTCGCAGATGACACCCACTTATATCAGTGATGGTGTAATAGCGGAGTTAAAATGGACGGTGACCTTCAAACAATCTTTGAAGTATCAACCATTATTCCCTCCAACTCAACTCTCATAAATCCAGCGTTATTTTATTGGGTACACTATAAACATCAGTGATGGTCTAATAGTGGAGTTTAAAATTGACGGTGACCTTCAAAAAAATCATTGAAATATCAACTCATCATTCCCTCCAACTCAATTCTCATAAATCCAGCGTTTTTTTTTGGTACACAACAAACATCAGTGATGGTATAATAGCGGAGTTCAAAATTGACGGCGACCTTCAAAAAATCTTCGAAATATCAACTCATCATTCCGTCCAACTCGATTCTCATAAATCCAGCGTTATTTTGTTTGGTACACAACAAACAATCTCTACAGCTTAATATCAACGGGTCTACTTTAGCAAATGTAGAATCCTTGAAAAATCTTGGTCCGATCATTTAGATCTCTTCATGCATACAAATAGCTTATGTAATGAGACTATTATCTGTTCAAAATATGTTTTTCCGTTAACCAGCTGGCGAACGACAACCCTCAGAAGTCGAAACTTGTGCGAGCTAAGGATTAACGAGGTCTTACCTTTTAACGTGTGAATCCTAATACGGGTTGGACGATAGCAAGTGAAAATCGATTGTTCAGCCTGGGACTTGAACCACCGACCGACACGGCGGTCGATTTGAGTGAGTGAACAAAGCACCCACGTCGAACCGACCGGCTACCGACCGACCATAGACAAAGTTCATGCAAATATACAAAACAATTTCTTTCTATTTGGGACGAAACATGATATCAAGACTGCCAATCTCATTCATAAAGGTCTTCTAGCTTATTATTTACAGCGAATGATTTCCAGTATAATTGTACATAGCTGCTAAGTAAAGTAGTAAGTTATTGTATTATCATCAAAGCAATATACAGTTCCTTACAGACTAGTCAAATAAGGATTTACATGATATATAGTATAAAATCTGGTTGATATATTTTGTATTAAGTGGATATATCCACAAACAATATCATTTATTAGTTTTTTTAAGATTCTGCCGCTGAAAAAATGTTGAAGTACGAAATACAGAGGTTAGGAAAGAAACAAAATAGCTAGTCTATAAAACTTACGTGATGTTGAATAAGACCTCCAGTTATGGCTGGCACAATGAATCCTGTAGTTCCCCCAATGAAACTGATTATACCAAATATAGATCCAGCAAAGTTTGGCGCGAGATCTTGCGGATTCTGCAAATTGGTCAATACTGCTGCCCCATTGATCGCCATGCTGAAAGTCAACAAGGCCACAATTGGCGGCCAATTGCAACCAACGAAAGATATGCCTATCAGCAGTATACCTGGTATGATGTGCGCTGAAAAAATTTATCAAATTTAGAGTAATTTGAAAAATAAATTGGGATCGATATTATTTGATAGTTTCAAAAGTTTATTATCTTTTAGTTGATGAGACCAGATGATCTTCAGTTACAACCAAAACTCCTTTCATGATATCACCAGCAGGCAAGAAATGTGCTTATTTCATCTTCTTTCAAGGAAGCGAAACTAACGTGCACCTCTATTCTATTTTTCAGTCTAGTCTATTCTTCAGAAATTCTGCTCAAAACGCAACTTTACACAATTCTATGAAGATTTTTCAAACAAAATGGACTCAAAACCTACCGGGGACTACAACCAACTTCCAGTATCACACCACTTAAATCAAAACTTAACCCTGAAGATGTGTCTTTAGTTACATCAACCGCTTCCAGTAACACAGAACCCAGCCATAGCTGGTCCTCCTACAAATTTCATTCCAATCCCAAATTGTTCGATGGAGACAAAGAAGCTGGTGCAATAACCGCCATCTTGAATTTGTAATATATTGTTCTTGTATACTAATCAACTAAAACACGATAAAACCAGATGATTTCAGTTAAAACCAAAACTCCTTTCATAATATCACCAGCAAGCAAGAAATGAGCTTATTTAATGTTCTCTCAAGAAAAGGAAACGTACGTGCACCTCTATTCTATTCTTCTTTAGAGATTCTGCTCAAAATGCAACTTTACACAATTCTATGAAGATTTTTCAAACAAAATGGACTCAAAATCTACCGGGGACTACAACCAACTTCCAGTATCACACCACCTCAATCAAAACTTAACCACGAAGATGTCTCTTTAGTTACATCAAAGCTTCCAGTAGCACATAATCCAGCCATAGCTGGTTCTCCTACATAGTTCTTTACAATCCCAAAGTGTCCGATGAAGACAAAGAAGCTGATGTAATAACTGCCATCCTGAATTTGTAAAACATTGTGCTGTTATCAGAATCACTAATGATTCATTGGAAAAGGTGGATGAAGAAGCTGAAGTGACTAATGAAACCGAAGAACAAAGAAATGCCGAAAAAATAAAAGTACAAAACCTTTGCGATGAGTACAGTTCCGATTCTTTTATTTACTTTATCGCAGAGAAGATGAAAAAGATGTAGAAGAATATACTGAGGAAGTGAGCATCATTTGTTATGACTTTGGTGAAACTGAAGTCTGGTATTTCTGCAACAAATACTGAAAGTACTTCTTACGAAGGTCCACAGGAAGTGCACTGTACTATTGAAGCTCAAGGGAAAAAATTATTTTTGATTATTTTCCCATATGAAAAATAATAAGGATCGTTCTGCTGTGAGACAGGGAAAAAGTTAATTCTCCAATAACTTCTATGTGGCTACTGCAACTTTCACTGCAAGGCCACTCGTTGAAAATCAGTGACCAAACTCAGTGCGCAAACACAGCACATTTTATGACCGCCTTGGTGAGCCACGTTTGTTGTTGATATTCGAGGATCGAGTTCTCCATTGATCCCATAGATGGCGTCTTCTCAAGGGGAGATGTCGTCGAACTTACTTACACAGACTTGTCCTTAAGGACAATTGAGGCCACCAACGCATTTGTGGTTTAGTCTAGCACCACTGATGACATCAAAATGACAAGTCGAAACAGCGCTGTCTGGTGTTCAATAATAAATGCGTTGTGTTTGTGCTCTGGTTTTCAGTGTGAGAGACCTTTTGAAAAGTAAAATCGGTAACTGAAAAGTATGACAGCAAGTTCCAACAATTGATAAAAAAAGTAATATATCATAGTTTGAGTTAAAACTACTTCTTGCTAATACTCACAACACAGAACAAATGATTTTCTGATAGCCTTGTTGGATAAGATTTTACGGCGTTTAAGAAAATCTCCGAGAGAACCGAATGCTGTGCCCAAAAATAGCCTCAACAAGTGTGGCAGAGCTGAAAGTCCACCGGCTTCCTTCAAATTGAATCCAACTACTTCGGCCATGAATTTGGGAACTGTGGTGAGTTGAAGGTAAAGGCCGTACAAGTTTCCAAAATGGAGAATGGTCAGCATCCAGAACGGGAATGATTTCAATATTGACCAATATGGAGGCACCGCCTGAAAAAAATATCATGTTTTAGAAAAGGAGCACTCGTAATATAGGGTCTTTCATTAGGCGCTTCCTATCTTTAAATTTAAATAAAATAAAGTGTGTGTGAGATANACAAACATGTGTACCAACTGTTGGTGATGAAATATTTCATTTGTTGAAAACTCAATATACATATATATAATATAATGATACTATATCTTGAAAACAAGAGCTAATATATAATTTTTATGGTCACTTTCGGTTTTAACACGTTTAACACATTAAAATCATCTAATTTCAACCCCGAAACAAAAACTTTGTTGTGTTGTGTAATTGGTGAGATAGTAGTAAATCCTGAACAGTCTACTTATTCCGTCGCGAATGTTTGTGAGGTGTCTCCTACTACTGTGTGGAGACTTTTGGTAGCAATAGCTTGATTCATATTTGGCCATCAAACCAATGAAGCACGAAAACGACTTACCAAAACGGGAAGACATGGATATATTGCAGCCGGAGAGCTGCAAACTGATTGTTACTTTCTCTGGTATTGAACTTCTTCACACAAGATGAAGGACTGCGAATGGAATGGTTCAAAATGCAGGCCATCGAAGACGCCGACAAAAACTACTTATTTGGATGACATCGGTTGATGACACCAGTGAAGTATGGCGAAATGGAGACATAAAACAAAACAACTTTTTGGAACACCTCAATAGCACGAAGTTATTCATTGAATATAAACAGAAAAGAGATTTCAGAAGAAGTTGCTGATAAAATGAGGTGGAACAACACTAGGTAGGAAACAGTTCATCGTCGTCAATATACAAAGATGGAAGTCGTTAAAACACTGATTCATCTTGTTTTTGACCTTTGTAATAAAAATGAAAGTCTCAACATGGAACTGCAACCCATCAGGGAAGATCTTCAACGGAACTGATATTTCGAAGCTGGTAAAAGTAACATTAGCCATATCACGACAGGAGACCAACATAGAGAAAAACCATTTTTACTTCTGTCTAATGTGGAATGAATAATCGAGTGGATTGAAAGAACTATTTCTAAGAGCTATGTCAGAATTTACTTCATCCGGATACTCAAAGACCATACCACCAAACGGAATCAACAAATGTAGCAAACGTAGCTAATACTTCATAGTAAAGTACTTCGAGTTCTGTAATTATTGCATTCATTTTGCGTAATGCATAGCATACTCTAGTCATCCTTTCAATAGTATCAAAAACATGATTTCAAAATTGAATTTGCATTTGCCAAGAACATAGTATTTGATCACACAGGAAGGCAAGCAATGTGATGCTTTGTATTCTGGGTTTTCACAAATAGTTCAAGCTGATGCCGTTTTTACCACATAAATAAAACATTTCGGTAGGTACGAGTATTTCTGTTAGTCTCATTCGCAAGATTTCTAAGATTTTGAACCAATGATACACAAGTTTCATCAAACAAATTGCTGTCAACAACGGTTACAAATGAACCAGGTCGAACCAACCTCAAAAACGACGATAAGCCGGACACATATTATGAAAAAGAAGGAGTTAGACGTGGCTTGCATAGCAAATGATAATTTAAGCAAATTCATCAAAAACAAAAAAGACTTAACCTCATTATCCATAGACCAGGAGTATATAATTGTGATGCACTGTTTGTAACCTTTGGTGTAGTAATAAATATTACTGGAGTTTCTTCCCAACACCAAACCGTTATTTTTAATAACTCGACACGTGTTTCAATCACCATGTGATTATCTTCAAGAGGAAGATTAAACTTCTTGTCCAAAATTTTATATTGGCCAAACGGGAAGAGCCTTCATCCAAAGAATGAAAGAACACAGGAGTAGTTTTTTTCAACGTGAAGACCAATTCTACATTCGCAAACAGTTTTTTTGACAGAGGGCCATGAGTTCAACCAGGACTATGGCGTGTTATATTTGGAAAAGAAAAGTTTGATAGCTAATCTTTTGGAGTTCTTGGAAATCAATAAATTTAAGAATTCGAAACATTTACTGAACAATCAAATAGAATTTAATGAATTTCCTTAATGTTAATACTGATATTTAGTTGACATTGAATCTCAGTTAATTTTATTTCACTACATGTTCATTTAAATGTGTTTGTAAAAATTCTTCCAAATATTTAGATTTGTAATTAGTCATACCACAACTTAGTCACTGAGTAGGTAGAAAGACATGTTATTCAAATTTTTGATTCATAAGAAGCACTAAGTAGGTAGAATTCAGTTAGTATGAACTTTTATAATAAAGTATTATAGATTTTGATCAATTCCATCACATATAAATCAGGAATTTTGTAGCTGGATTGATTTACTTTTCAGTACCTACCTTCTTACTAGAAACTGATGCTCCTTGGGCTTCCTTGATGAAGCTTTTTTCTTCTTCGCTGATAAACGAATGAGTGTCTGGACTATCCGCAGCGACGAAGAAGAATATGACGCAAAATACCGCAATTTGAATAGACACGACGTGAAATCCCCAATCCCAGCCAGCCGAAGAGGTTATGGCGCCAACCAGCGGCCACGTGATGCATGTGGCCAGCGTGTTTCCCATCAAACCGGCGACGAATTTTCCTTTTTCTGCTGGAGGAGCCCATTTTGCTATCAGGACTTGAAGCGCGGGGTACACAAGGCCCTAGAAATAGAATATAGCGAATATCAGACAGCATGGACACGCCTGAGGAAGCTATTGTATGGCGAAACACGTGTTGCGTGTTTCGCCATACAATAGCGTGTTCAAAAAAACTGTCACTTCAATCAAGTTTAACGTGTCAGAACATATTTTAACTTACGTAAATTTCAAGGCTTACCTGCCATTGAAAATAATTGAAACACAATTGTTATTTGTCCTCGAAGGCAGTGATTTATAAATCTTGTCAACTATGATTATTTCGAAGGTGTGAGTTATGAGACCATTGCCTACTTACATAACAAGGAACGATCAGATATTCGACTCTTTTTTCAATAGTCATAGAAAAATTCACAGCTTGGCAAACCTAGCTGTGCCTCTGAATATTGGATGTGCAGTAGATCAGCCGGCGGGGTGGGACGAGAGCTCATTACCATCGAGAAACTCGAGTAGTATTATCGTGCCAGTACAGTAAGAGGGGAAATTATTCTGTGTGGTGAACTGTGAGTTATTTGTTGCCCTTGATAATGTCTTCGAACAGTATTCTGTATTCAACTTCAAATTAAAAGAGATGTATCAGACATTCCAAAAATTATGATGGATGATGCTGATTTGTCAGTTTTACGCATAATTAATTTCCATATCAAAAAGAAATAAGTTCACACGCTTAGGAAAACCCATAAAACTATCATCCGAGATATTTACTATCAGGGTAGTAAGGAGTCTTTGCAATAAAAATTATGAACTTGGATTTCGATGAAGAAAGGTGAAAAATAACAGAAAAATATTGTTGGAGTCCATTCGACTACTTGGAATATGATTCACGAGGAAAATGCGGACCAATAGAGAAAAATGTCGACCTATTATGGATCAAACATAAATTCACGTTACACACGCCCCAAAAAAGTTAGAGTGATCAAATCGTCGAAGGTTTGAAGAAAACTGTTGAAAAAGGGCAACGGCACTATATCATAATGAACAAATCGACAAAATGTCAAGGAAATGACCAAAAAAGCCGATATGCAATCATGCTCATCAGAGAAGAATATTACATTTGGAAAAAAACCTGCTGAAACCTGAATTATATGCCTTTATAAACAACCATGAACCAAAATTCTAGGCGGTATGAAATAGATCAGGGCTTTCTAGCAGCAAATAACAACGTTGTACTATTACCGCCACATCACCCGGATTTGAATCCATTTGAGTTTGGGCTGGACTGAAAGATTACGTGGCGAATAAAAATGTTACTTTCAATTTAAACGATGTTATGCAATATTTCGACGATTTCTTTCTGAACAGTTATCTTCCGTCAAACGGAAATCTCGTTTTGAACGAGCAAAGAAATTTGAGGACGATTTCATGTCAAATGAGCCCATGATAGACATCATCGTGGATGATCTGATTGAATATAGGATAAAGAAAATAACTTTTGTCTGATTTCTACTAAGTTTTTCATTTGTTACGACCCGTTTCTGTTTTTTAAACCATTCTAAAGTAAACTGATACATTTTGTTGAAACAAGTCCCCAAATATACGATGATACAGTCAGGATCAGAATCACTAACTATTGATCTCCAAAAACCTTCTTGGGGATTTTTCCAGCTACCAATGGATCCTAAACTAGTTTTCAAAATTCATTAATTCAAAAGGGAACAGCTTTTTCCACAAGTAGATTCAATTAGAATTCAAACGGGAAGAGCTTTTTCCACAAGTCGATATGTGAATTTTGACAATTAGTTTAGGATCCATTGGTAGCTGGAAAAATCGACAAGTAGGTTTTTGGGGATCAATAGTTGGTAATCCTGATATAGTATAGAAGATAAATATTTATCGTTTTAGTCTTGGTTAATTACTTTATCTTAAATAGGTTATCAATCGAACAAGATTATCTGATTATTTATTTACATGATGAGGATAGCGGCACTGTATCGGAACAGGAATATGGGAATGACGTTACAGAGAATGAAAATGTTAATCTATCCGGAATCGAAACACTTCCTGTCGAAAACCATCCATCAACAGTAGGCGAAAAATCATATTATAATCTTCAGGCAACCAATCTTCGCAATGTTTTGTAGATTATCTACCTGCTACGTTTCATAATTATTTCTAGAAACTATGCGTTAATTATCCTATCAATTAATTATCCATCAATTATTATCGGTTGCCAAATTTAGTTAAGCCAACATTCTTTTCCCGATTGTACTTTTTGATAAAAGTTGGTAGTGAACAGTTACCATCTGTTTTTTATCGTTCGCGCATCTCAGGGGCGCAGCTAGATTTGCCAAGCTCTAAATTAGCTGAAAGCGTTATTACGAAAAAACTTACAGCAGCTAATCCTAATACAATTCTTGTAATCACGAGTACGGAGTAATGTATCCAGGTTCCAAACACGGACAGGGAATTCATGATGGCTGAGAGAACGTGCGTCCAGAATATCACTTTAAATGGACCCCATGTTTCTGAAACGAATCCAGCAGGTAAGGAACCGATGACGTAACCGTAGAAGTAGCTCGCCAATACTAGCGCTTGGGTATTTTCATCCCACTCGTATCGTGGTCCATACTGAAAAAATAGAAAAACGATAAATGATTGTCACAAAAATAAACAAGCAACGACGATGAACTCGATGAGATTGAATAGTTTAGAAACAGGTGATTTTTCAAGTTTAAATACTACAAACAAAGTTCAATCGAATCGTAGTGATACTTGAATTAGTAGTATTGATACTTAAGTATCAATACTACTAATAATAATACTACAGTAATAATTGAATAGTAGTAGTAATAGTTAATTGGTAGTAGTTCTACTTACGCCCCGTTAGTACTTGTGTGAGAAAGTAATTCACTTCTCCCCATTTTCTGTTCATCCATGGTTCTACGTCTCTTATCAGTCTTCTTGTCCTGTTGGCCTTTCCATCGTCTATCTCCCAAGATTGTTGCCATTTTTCCATAATATGTAACCTTGCTAACCCTTTTGATACGTTGTTTTGAACCATTTTTCTCTCTTCCGCCAGCAGATCTATTGACGGGGTTCTTGCAATCATCAGCAAAGCTTTAGTTAATGTTGTTTTATATGCACACACTATTTTTATGGCTGCTTTCCGTTGAACACTAAGTAATATATTCTTGTACACCTTTTTTCCATGGATTTTTTCCAAATCGTTGCGCCATATAGCATGATCGACTAGGCGACTGAGCATAGAATTATTCTGCTACCTTCTCGAGGACCCCCAACGTTGGGCATTATCCTGCTTATGTTGCTTATGGCTTTTCCCGCTTTTTCTGCTATTTTTCTAACATGAGCTCCCATTTTCATATTTCGATCCATGTGGATTCTCAGGTATTCGATAGACTCTTGGCTACGGATGTTCGTTTCCTCCAATTCAATTGTAATACTTTTCCGTTTTCCGCCTGCTGCCAGCAGTTGATTGATAGTAGTAATACTTAAATAGTAGTAGTAATACTTAAATAGTAGCAGTAATACTTAAACAGTAGTAGTAATAGTTAATTAGTAGTAGTAATGCTTAATTAGTAGTAGTGACACTTGAACAGTAGTAGTAATATTTATTTAGTACTAATACTACTCAAATAGTAGTAATAATACTCAATCAAAATGTAATAATACTTCGACCATTGAAGAGTAGTATAACTACGGTCCTTACAGCGGACCTAAAATTTTTGAATAATTCTCTCAGTCTTCCAGTCCGTTTATCCGTCCGTTCGTCTGTCTGTCGTGCGACAGACAGAGATAACTCTCGAAAGACCAGATATATCTTTTTGAAATTTTCATTAGTTGATAAGGCCGTGATGAACTCCAGATAATCGGAGTTGGGGTACAATCCGGAAAACGGGGAAGTGTTTTTTCGGTTCTTTTCCAAAAATCTCCAAACTTTCCGAGGGATGATTCAAAAAATGGGTAGAAATATCGTAAAAATTCAAATGAGTGTGATATACAAGTTCATGAGATTTACAAAAATTGTCCATAAACTTTTTCGATAACTACGATAGTATGCAAAAATTGACCTATACATCTGAACATATTTTTCCTAACTTCAAAAGTTCTGGAATGATTTGAGAATTCATAATTTTGATTATTCAACTTGTAGACCATGAAAATATCGAAAAGAATCATAGAAACATTGCCCCTTGGAAATTAAACAAAATATATGGACTTCATTACAATCCAAAATTTCCATTGACTCTATCATAAAACATATCAGTTTACTTACTTTTCCAAAAGTAAACAGCATTGACAATTGAAATGCCAACTTGACATCGTCATGTAATTGAATTCGCTGTCGTTCATTTTGATGAGGAAATCAACAACAAATAATATCAGTGGAAACAAAATCAACCGATAAACTGTTCAAAATGCTTCCACCTAGTTCCGTACAATAATACAGTCTACTCTTGAAAGCGTTACGTACATTATTCAAGATATCCGGGGTCGGCAATCGGCATTCCCGAACAATTCTCTGTCGCAGGTCTTTTAGATTTGTAGGCTTAGTAGAGTATACTTTCGACTTCAGGTGCCCCCACAGAAAGAAGTCCATCGGTGTGAGATCTGGTGATCTAGCTGGCCACTCCACTGGAGCCCTTCTGCCGATCCAATGCATTGGAAAACGTTCGTCCAAAAACTGTCTCACCCAAACAGCAAAAAGGTGGGGGTGCACCATCCTGCTGGAATGTTATTTCATTTTCTACTAAACTGTCATCATTTTCTAAAATTTGTGTAGGATATACACAGTCTTGTACTAGATTTACGTATGTATCTCCATTGAGATTATTTTCAATGAAGAATGGCCCAACACCATGATTACCAAGAATGCCGGCCCAGACATTCCATGTTTGTGGAGTTTGTGAATGTGTTTACATCACCAAAACTAAAAATAAAAATTGATGTGTTTTTTGGAACTTTAGATTACACGTCCGTTTCTGACTTACAGAGGAGGGGCCAAGTTTTCGTTGGGTGAATAAATTCAGTTTCGTGTCAAAGTCTACTCCAAGGTCCTTAATACACGAGGGCTGTTGAAAAAATAAGGTGAATGTTCACATTTCGCGGGCTACGTACATTAGATTAGTTGTATTTTTTCAAGTTGGTACACTCTTCTCGAACATATGTTCACAGTTTCAGGCGTTTAGCATGTTTAGTTTGCTGATGAGAGGCATAAAAGTTGGAAGTGTTAGGTTAGGTCCAAAGTGAGTGAGTCTATTCGACCCTCCACCGCAACCCGCAAGAGTTTATTGAGGCTCACATCTATTCACAGTCGACTAAATAAACCCAGCTTCTTAACGAAGCCGATTAGTTTGTATGGTGAGTGGTCATTCAGGTCAGATGGTAAGATTTGGTCCCCAGTGGGACAGGAACAAAGTATGTGCTCTGATGTTTCATCGTTTTCCAAACAGAGGCGACACACACTGTTTTCCGATAGTCGGAATCTCTGCATATGATGATTCAATTGACAGTGACCTGTAAGAAGGCCTGTTCCGGAAGATTCTGACAGAAGTCCATAAACCTTCTTGCCATCCAGGTGTTCAATCTTTGTTTGGCAAAGCCTAAAGCGATGCCAATCATAGGTTCTGGTCCGATGAAGCTGCTGGCAGCACCCTCCTTGGCAAGGAAGTCAGCAGCCTCATTGCCTTCCAGGCCAGTAATGGCCAGGAATCCTGGCCAGAGACAATCTGAAAGACAATCTGTCTTTCTATCAAGGAGAATCGTTTTTGTTTATTTGCTACCAATTTAGTCGTTGCTCGATAGGAGCCAAGAGCTTCCACCGCCCCTTGACTGTTCGCGAATATTTTTATTGACTTGTGTATGATGTTGGATTCTTCCAATCTCTCCGCACACAATTCAATAGCGTAAATTTCCGCTTGAAATACAGACGCATAGGTTCCTAGGTAGATTGATATCTCTGTCCTAGGTCTGCGACAGAAAACACCTGCACCAGAACCGCAAGGTGTTTTTTATCCATCTGTGTACCAACAACTATCTGCTCGTAATATTTCCTTCTCCCGAAGGATTCAGTCCAGTCCTCTCTACTTGGGAACAGTACTTTATAAAGCAGTTTGTAGTTAGAAGTGTAGCTCGTTCCAAAATTGCTGAATTTTGACCAAAAAAACCGCATCGATCATAAATTATTAAATGACGTCAACGACGGTCAAATAGAAATTGATAAACAAATAAATATATTTTGAGAATAATTGAAAATTCACCTTATTTTTTGAATAGATAGCGTTATTCACTCTATTTATTGTGGCAAATACAGAAATAATATCAGTGTAAACTTTCATGACCAAAGATAACTGTGTCTAAGCCATTTGTTTGGTTTACTGGCTCCGATCTGCATGTTTCCATGCCTGACATTTCGTCTACAACTCCTGTAGCCAATAACGAAGATAATGAGCACTTCATCCGTTGCCTTATTGCGTTTGATAATGACAACCTCAGTTGTAGATGAAACAGCAGACATGAAAATCTGCAGACCGCGACCTACATATACGTAGAATAAAAAAAAATAGGGACGAACAAATGTATTTTTTGAGAACACACATGCCATGAACTTTTAACACAATTGTTGACAAAATGTTGACGTGCTATTGATTTTTGCAGCATTGATGATTATTGTGAATATGAGGAATATATTATTGAAGACACTGTGAGTATATAAAAAGTAATACAATATAACATAACAAAAAAGAATTTTTTTGAGATTTGTATGATTTCGTAAATACTTACATCGGGTAAATGTTTTGGTATTTGGGTTGTCGATGAATTATTTGTTGTTTCCATGTCTTTGAGAAGACATTCCGGAGTCGTTTTACTTTTTCCTTTCGTCATTGATATAATACTGATAGACATGTTAACTCTGGTAGTGTAGTTGATGTAAGTCGTCAGAAAGACCATAATTCCTATCCAAAATCGGACGGGAATGTTGAATTTTTTGCCTGAGAAAAAAAAGAAGAATTATTGAATTTTTTTGTTACTTTTAAAACAGTACTTCAGTAAACAATAATTACAAAAATCCGTTTGATGACATGTGAAAATACATTGACATTTAACTACATAATATGAGGTAAAGAGCTTCTAGTCAGTTCAGAAGATATAAACAGCCTATCCAATATTTCACGCCGAACATTTTCGAACACAGTAACGTCAATATCTCTACAAATATTTATTATTCTCTGCCGTATATCCCAATACTGAAGCAGGTTCAGTTTCGTACACGTTTTACTTCAAATAGCTCCATAAAAAAAGTCCAAAGGTGTCAAATCTGGCGAGCGGGTTGGCCATTCTGTAAGACCTCGACGGCCAATCCAACGACCGGGAAAAGTAGAATCCAAATAGTTTCTTACTTGTCTGGAGTAATGTGGTGGTGCTCCATCTTGTTGGAATATAATATCCATATCGAATTCATTAGGATTCGATTTGACGATTTCAGTGATGAGAGGGTCAACAGCAGTTTCCAGCATATTCAAATATAGCTTCAAATCGCTTCAACTTTTTATTCCAATGGATGAGAATTGACCATTTCAGAGATTGTTGACGTGGTATCTTTCCACTAGTAAAACCGAAAACTAAATGAGAATATGCTAGCTGAACAATGATGTTCATTGTTCATTTTTTTCGTTTTTATAAACAAACAAAATAAATTAACAAACATCATCGTGTTGTTGTGATTGCCATACAGAGTGGTCCAACGAAAAGTATACACCTTGCTTTTCTCCTTTTTTTGTAACTTAACGCAAAAATGCTCGGACAGGTCAATTTTGTTTTTGAGGGGGACACATTTTAGATGTATTTTTCTACCTGTGTATTTTTCTACCTAATTTGTTTTATTTCACTCAAACATGTAGGTATTATGAAGAAAAACAACTACAACCCATTACTTTGAAATGTGTAATTGACTTAGTAGAATCCTACTTCAGCAAGTGCTGAAAATGTGACCCATTTGCTTCCATACAATAATACAGATTTTGTTCAAATCTATTCGTAACATTCTGTAGCAGATCAGGTGTTATACTTCTGCACTCTGTTGTAATTCGTTGGTGAAGATCTTCTATGGACTCGGGCTGCGTAGCAAAACATTTATTTTTCAAGTGTCCCCAAAGGAAAAAGTCTAAAGG